GTTTTATAAGCTTAAATCGCCTTGCTCTGTTCTGTGATGCGCGTTCGTGACTCTCCTGTTCGAACTCGTTCATCAAAATGAGCGAATATTTTCGAAATCTTGTCATTTGGTTCATTCAAAGAACAAAGCGAATGAATTGACTCGGGAAAATATTCGTTCATTTTGATAAACGAGTTTGAATAGGAGGGTCACGAACGCGCATCACAGAACAGAGCAAGGCGAGGATTTGAGCTTATAAAACTTAAACTTTGTTATTTTTTTAAATGAGCAATTGTTTCGCTTGATAAGACCCTTATTCATCATCTGAAATCGTTTAAAGCCCTTTGAACAGTTTGCACTGAAACTGTCTTTTGGACCTTGAACCGTTTGGTTCCCACTGAAGTCCATTATATGGAGAAAATCCTGGAATGTTTTCATCAAAAACCTTAATTTCTTTTCGACTGAAGAAAGAAAGACATGGACATCTTGGATGACGACATGGGGGTGAGTAAAATATCAGTAAAAGTTGTTTTTTTTTAAAGTGAACTACTCCTTTAAGCTGCAAAAACTTTATTTCTGATTGTTCACAGAACAATCTAAACAATCAGTTTTTTAAATATATATATACAGTATAAATTGGTTATGTGAACGTTAACCGGGTCTACACCAGACACGAGGGGTGCAGTGCGAAGCAACAAAAAGCAAATAGAACTCATAATCAGTGATGCTGTCGACAAATGATGCGGTGACAAATTCCTGACAAGAAAATGATGGGACAAACGGATTTGGAACGCTAGCTTTGTCTCGGAAAGTAGACTGCCTTGTCAAGCTTGTGGCACAATGCATGACTTTCACAACTGGCATAGACATTTGATCATTTAGCAAATATTACAGAAAAGTTGCTTTTAAATGTTCTAGAAAAGTAGAATTCAGAAAACCTTGTTATAAGCGACACCGGTGGCCATTAAGTGAATTGCAGCCAGTAACTTATTGCTTGTGCTCGCACTCGTGACGTACAAAAGACAGAACGTAATTCAAGGCCCTAATATACTCACTGCAAAGTTCTTCTGTTTTTCGTTGAACAAAGTCTGAAAGATGTACAGTATGTTCAATGCTTTGACTACCGAATGATGGTTACCAAGGTATTAAACAGTACATCATCGAGCAGACTGTAAACCTACGGCATTAACTGAATACTCATTAAATCTTGTACCAATGCAGTAAACATTAGATCTTCATCACCTCAAACCATGTTCATAATGAACTGTGATGCAGACTTCAGGTCGTGGCTTTCCCGGCCCCAGAGCAACTCTCAAATCCTCTTGATATTCCGCTACGCTACACTCCCCCCCCCCCCCCCCCCTCATTTAATCAAGCAGAGGAATTACCAGGGGAAGTGATTAGGTACAGGTCTTTAGTTTTTTCTCTTTCTTTTTAAACACGTAATCCTTTCAGCATAGTAAAAAGAAAAACTCCACAGATATCCCTGCATTGTGCCCCACTTTCTCTCTCTTTTACAAAGAGACTGGTTCTCTTTTGAAATGAGAGTGGCAAATTAAAAGTTATTGTTTGCCACTTTTAAAAGCATTTTTTTCCCCCCAACCACCCCTCAACCCCTGGACCACGTCTGGGATTTGTCCTGCTGAACATCTTGGCAATTTATGTAGAAGACAAAAGGGTAAAGGTTGTTACCCATTTTTCCTGTCAATCAAGATGTTAAACAGATCTCTGATGGCCTGACTTCATGACATCATAAAACGATTCTCAGCTGCTCTAGTAAAATACGGCTTATGAACTGAACAATCAACAAGTTTTATTTTATTTTTAGCAAACAAATGTCCAGCGTGCAAACTCCAAAACTATGTACACTAATGTGAAATGTACACTACCTAAAACTTTGGACACTTGAATGAATAATATGACAAGATTTTTTTTATTATTATTAATTTACTTAAAAAGATGTTCAGTTTGTCTAGTAAAATATGGCTACAGAAATGCTTTTAAACTGAACAAGATAAATTGAAAAATTAAATAAATAACATTTGTTTTTCAGTACTGTTTTAAAACACTTTGAATGTGTTCAATATACACAACACACACACACACACACACACACACACACACACACACACACACACACACACACACACACATATATATACTTGTTTAAAATGTGTGTTTTTTTAGATTCTTAAATATTACATTTGATGATTTGTTTGTATTTTGTGTTTCTTTTTAGCCACTAACAAGTATGTGAATTCCAGTACTGTTTAAAAACCATGCAACTAAGTTTGTACAGTGTACAATATGAATATGTATTATCAACATCGGCACTCCAATATCATCTCACTTTGAAGATCTGATTTGCCTAATATTTTGGTCAGTACATAATTCCATGTGTCATTTCATAGTTTCATCATTTTACATTACTTTAAATATAAAAAAAAAAAGAAAACAAGAATCCATCTAAAATTATATTTGGTCATGTACACCTGTATACATCTTAACAAAATATAATATACTAACTTCCTCAATGAAAAAAAAAACACCTTAAAGATCACGCTGTTTCCTGACTGACACTACCGCTAATCTTACAATGTTTCACAATTCCACCACAGTGCATTTAATAAGGTTTAATGAGCAGGCTTGTTAAGTAAGTCGTACACTTAAAGCGGTGGAGTGTTATGGTGGGATTTTGTGTTCCTCTCGCTGCATTCACAGACCAGCTGCAGCTCGTCTCAGTGGCTCGAGTTCCCATAGTTCCATTAATCCCCCAGCAGCACTTGAGGAGCGCACACACACACAGGAGGCAGAGAGGAGTGGGTGGGTTGTATTGTCCTAGTCTAGTTTATCATTTATATGCTCTTCTGTGAGATATTAATGCAAGTTAGCCAAAGAAATGCAGAGCAGCTTTTTCAGCAGGCATTTCAAAGCAGAATCACATGCATCTGACAGATGGGTTCATAAAATCCTAATCTGCCTTCTATGAGCCAATGAATATCCACAATTATATATATACATATATAGAGTCAACATTTGAAGTGGATCAAAACCTTTCATCAAATCGAATTTTGAACAACACACGTTCTTGTCTTTGACAACTTTGATTCACTTTCTTTTTGATCCACTTCAAATGTTGACTACTGTGTGTGTGTGTGTGTGTACATACATATATATATATATATATATATATATATATATATATATATATATATATATATATATATATATATATATATATATATACACACACAATCCCTTTATTTAAAAAGTACTCTCTTCACTGAAAGTCACACTGTTTTTCCACATTAAGAAAAAAATGTTTTGGCCTGCATTACAGCGAAGCATTTTGGAGAAATGTGTTGTATTTATTTTTGTGCATTATTTTAAGTGCATTTACTTTAATAAGATTAAATCCAAATATAATGAAAATAATGCCAAGCCATTTTAATGGTCTTCATTTATGCAAAGTATAATTACCTAAATAGGTTAACTTATATTTATGTAGGCCTAATTTAATTATTTTATCCTGTTTATCCTTTAATTTTGGGGGTAAATCGGTGTTGTTTTAGTTTTAGTAATATTTTGAATTAGCTTTTATTTTCATATTTTTAGTTTTCGTGTTAATTTTAGTGCATTTGTCTTTTTATTAATGACTAATATTGCTATTTAGATTTTCTTTATTTTTAATTTTGTTGTAGTTATTTTGTTTTTGTTTATTTCCAGTTAATAATTTTAGTGCTTCAGCAATCTAATTTCAATAATAATCCTGGGTGAAATATGACAGACATTATTTTACAATTTCTTTTTTTTTAGTTTTTATCTAACGATCAAGATTATGAAGCCCCACGCTAGACATGCAGACAAAGAAATATATATCATCGCCACAAATTAGGAATTCATTCCCACAACAAGGGAACAAATTATTATGACATGGTCATGATTTAGTAAAACGAGAGAACAGTTATTTTGTGTGCGCAATTTACAACGTGCTGACGTAGTAAGTCTTAGGAACTAATTGTTCATTTGTGGCCATACTATACATATTTATACATACACACACACACACATATATATATATATATATATATATATATAAAATGCAGCAATACTGCAGAGAGCAAGTCCATGCTAAGTAAAGTAGTAGAGTGAAGATGTGTTTGTGTGAATGTGCTCTGGGACAGAAGGTGTGTTTGAAGTTGTCCTGCAGACTATCTTCACTAACCCTTTCATGACATGGCAGGAGAAGAGAGACAGCTGGCGCTCAGGCTGAGGGCGTTTATTTACCTCCACGGCCAGCAAAGGAAAAGCGCTCCACAAAAGAGTGCTCATGAATGGGCTCTCACTGGGGAAGCCTTCCTAAACTTCTTTATGTGGATCTTCCATTTAAGCACTGCACTTTTTGTTTGTTTCTTATAACAGCAGAAGCTTTCGTGACATATAATCCGAGAGCGCATGACCTTACACACTAGGTCTGACAGGAAAAGAGGCGAAAACACAAACAAGCTGCAAAATAACAGTCTGGCATTCATAAAACGGTTTCGTGTTACTGAGATATTGACATACAGTTATGCAACATAACAATTAACGTAACAGTCTTGTGACTGGTATATTTTTCTTCTGCAACATGCGTGTCATCTTCATATACATATATAATATATATATCAAAACAACTGTTGGATATTTCAACAGTTTAAAAATCTATTTAATCTGTGCTGCTAAGATCATTTGAAAAGTTTTCTAATATGTTCTACTTTTTCTAGTTTCTGCGATTGTATTTTTAAAGTCAATTTCCAAGTCATTTTCTTTATTATTATTTAAATGCAACATTGGTGGATTGAAGCATCAATCTCTTACCAAATAAACCAAAAACTAAATGTTTTAACTTTTGGGTAGTGCTAAAAAACAAAATACATGTGACATTTTATAGGGTGTCAGACAAAATGGATGTATGTTTGTTGTTATATTGCAGTCATTCCTTTTGGACATTTATTAAAATCCGTCGTTCATTCAAAACGCAATTTTTTTATCCATCATTTATTTGAATGCTTATAAATTCATCCAGAATTGTGCAAGGATGGTAAACAGAAAGACTGTACCGACTTTTAAACACACAACTTGGGTTAACTGGAACACCAGCTGTAAAGAGTCCTCAAACTAACTTAAGTGCAAGAAGCTTTTGCAAGATCATTCAAATTAAACTTTTATGATGAAATATGTTTGAGCTTTCATGCTATATGACATTCATCTGACTGACAAAGGTTGCCCTCTTCTGGTGAAATCAAAAATCTGTTTTTGTTTTTTTTACTTCACTAGTAAGATACAATTTAACTGTAACATTCCCAAACATTAAACATATTTCTAAACTTAAAAAGAGCCGTTTTTCTTCAAATAAATAATCAGATGTGTCATTACTAAAACAGATTTAGATCGCTTGTTTGAGAAAACCGTCCCAAATATGGAGAAATAATTTACATTTACAATAAAACAGTAGAAAAGCATCTAGCATTTTTACATCTAAGTTTACTTTACCGAAGTAAAATGGCCAAAATATGTAAAGTGACCTGAATCTGACATACAGTATAATGTGCAATAATTCAGAAGTTACAAAATGTCACATTTATGAAAATACGCTTCCATGATTATCTGTTCCAGTAATTTAGTTTGCAATAAGAAGTGTTAAAGTATTCAGAATATTTCCAAACACGTCAAGACTGTATGTATAGAAATGCGTGGGAACTGTCTCACTGAAATATAACTTGAAACTGCTTTATATCAAAAATAATGTTGTAAACATGAAAAATCTGTCCATCTAATTCACATTGACAGTTTTAAATGAAGAAACATTCGTGTTCATAGCTCATCAGTCCATCCTAGAGTTTCTGAATAACAACTTGGAATTTACCTAAAAACAACAAAAAAATTATTTACAAAGGCCTTGAAGACAAGTCCCAGTCTCAATAACAGTGTCAAATCACACTTTATCAGTGCCAGTGGATACACTTGTCTTTAAAGAACCATCCAAATAGTATATCCAAAAGTAGGATAATTATTTATCTGTTTGTTAGGGCATTCATATATTTAGTTACTAAGAATTAAAAGGGTGAGAGACACATATGGTTGATTATAAGGTTGGCATAGACTTACATGATGGCATTAAAGAGACCTCCGCAGTCACTACACCCTCCAAGCCCAGGTTAGAGAGAGCGCCCCGAATCATCCCACAGGAAAAGGCCAAGTACTGCAGAGAGGACATACATAGATCTATTTAGCCTCTTATGGTTTTAAAATACAGACAAAATAAATAAATAAAAGAATATGATATAGTATAAATAAATAGGCCTAAATATCACTCACTTTTGGGGCCTCCTCAAGGTATTGCTTTCCACTGGAAAACTGAGTAAGTAGTGAAAATTTATTATCCTGTAAGACATATGTGCCCTAGAACAAAGCCAGAGAAAATAAATTACAATAATGCAATACAATAATTAAAATGCCCCTATTAAGTTAAAGGAGTGTTTGAGGGAGGAGAAAAGTACAGTAGCATTGTTTACAGGACGCCAATGAAGACCATAGCCTGGCATTATGCAAATTTGCTACAAAACTACATAGGTTTGTGCAGGAAGTGAGACTGGAATTACTGACGACTCGTTTCAGGCAGTTCAGAATCAATTCTTTCTTTGTAGAGACAATGACTCCATTTATCATGCTCTTTGCAACTTTGCAGACCTTTTATCTTCACGAACAGCTATATTTCACACTACATGAAAGGTAATATCATAATAGGGGCACTTTAAATACATTATTAAACTTTCAGACCTGATGGTTAGTCCTCAAGTTGTCGATTTGTTTTTTGAAGACGGTGCTCCAGAATTCTTTACAGAGGAACTTCATCACGTCCAGGTCATCTTTGAAACTGGGGCAGTCTTTTGTAAACCTTATGCAAACATAAAACATATGCAAAATTATGCCATCATGATATTTATAAACTCTGGATTCCAAAAAATTATATATGGGTTGATAAAAATGATAAAAACAATGTGGGTTGCCCTTTATTTTACAGTATGTACACTTACATGTACTTGCAGTGTACTTACCTAAGAAAGTACTGGGTAAACATGGGTTATGGTAAGGTTTAGGGGTTAGTTCAGCTAGTTATTGAACTATAATATGTATGTGTGTACATGCATGGGGGACAGGGCAGAAAATAAAGTGCTACCACACACAACATGTATAACATAGTAACTCTGTACATCAGAATACCTTTCAATCAGTCCTTGTCCAACTCTGAAGCCCATTGCCTCTAGTGTAGATACACACGTCACTCTCTCCTTAACAGAGCAAATCAGAGCATGATACAAATACAAAAGACAAAATGGTATAACAAATCATAAAAATATATGATATGTGCAATGTAAGATGGTACCCTATCAATGTCCTCCCGGGTCGCATGCTCCTTGTACACGTGAGAAACAATCTCCATATGGAGGAATTCAAACAGAGCGTCATCTGCCATATCTGAAAGAGAACATCCATGGAAAGTTTCTTAAACATCTGGAAACACTCCTGAAAAAAAAAAAATTCTGGGTTTAACCCATTCAGGCCCACAGGCAAACAGAGGTGGCTCTACTCTACTCTTTTAAATCATAGAAATGTTTTTTGACAACCTCACTGGATAATGTGTCAAGTGTGTGTTTTGAATCAGAGAAATAGGGGGTCTCCAAAAGAAAAACTGAATAAAAAAATGTTTAAAACTAAATAAATAGTAAAGTAAATGACTAAATAAATAGATCAAAATACACAAATAATACATCTACTGTAACAAGACAGTGCTATAGTGAGTAGAAAAACGACTTTAAAATATATTTAACTAATATGCTAGTTTAAATATGTTTATTATATGCATTTTTTTAACGGTATAATCTTATAAATAACGTTATATTTGACCTTTACAGAAGTTGTCTTGTTGTTTGTTTATGTGGATTAATTGAATGTATGTCATCAATATCATTGACTGCAAGCTTACTGCTAAAAGTCTGCTTTATACGTAAAGCTAAAAATCCTAAGCTAAGAATGTATAAAATGTTCACAATCTGTATGATTGAGATAAAGACAGCTGCTCAGACAGCTCAGCTAAGTTAATGTTACTGCACCTTCAGCGATAGAGCTGTTAACGTGCTACTACACCTATTGACGATAAATATGATATGGCATTAACATAAACACACGTTTTAGAGTACTTACTCCTTGCACGTATCTTCAGTAATCAAATAAAAATACATTTATGAAAACCCCCTCAGATACACAAACTCCGTCTTCAGTTCTTCAGTGTAGTGTTGCTGATACTACTAACAACCAATACTGCCACCTGCTGTTATGGAGAACAGCGACCGATATCTGCGCTCACTCATTTAACATCCATCATATTACAATTTATTGTAATAAAACCTCACAATATTACTGTTTCAATCTATTTTTCATTAAACAAATGCAGCCTTGGTGAGCATAAGAGACATCTTTCAAAAACATCGTAATGAAGTGAACAGCATACCCTTGATCAGTAATGTCTGTCTCTAGAGAGAGAGTATATGAACACATTAGAGACCACTATTACCCCAAAATTAATAATATATTTCCCCAATTTAACACCTGTAATCCGACCCAAAAACTTTGTTTCATTCTTGGCGAAGAAGCCAAATGCTCAAATATAGCTGCAAAATTTGTAGCATCCTGCCACATCCTGAGGGACGACCAGAAACCAGCAAACATACACTAAACACACACTCTCTCACAGCCTAAGACCTAGCCTACACACATGTATATAATGTTCAATATTTTTCTTTTTATGTATATATATACATATATATATATATATATATGATTTCTAAATCCATTTTATTTTATTTATTAATCTGTTCATTTTATTATTATTGTTTTATGATATCAGTTTTAATATTTTGTGTACTAAATGTTCCAAATCATTTTCTATGTTGTTTTGACGCTTTGGCAATACAAAATGTATTTTTTGTCATGCCAATAAAGCTTTCTGAATTGAATTGAATTGAATTGAGAGAGAGAGAGAGAGAGAGAGAGAGAGAGAGAGAGAGAGAGAGAGAGGGGGGGGGGGGGTTAAATTGTGTAAATTCTGATTAAAAAGTTAATTTACAATTATATATTATAAAATCAAATAAATAGCAAAATGATAAAAACAATTATTATATAACTAACGTAGTTATAAATATAAATGTATAATTAAGTTGCTTTACAAATAAACAAAATCTTTATAAAATCTTTATAAAAAAAATCTAATAATTAAAAAGCTAATTCTGGGACAGCTAGTTCTGTCCATTGTCCCTGATAAATAAATAAAATAAAATTAATGACAAAATATCTGCTGTCATTTTTTTTTAAGTCAATTTCAAAAGCTATGTAAAAAAAAATGTTGCTCTACTTAAGTACAATTAAATGTGTAAATATACTACTTCCACTTTAGTATGTTTTTAGCAGGACACTGATGTTTGGTAAAAAAAAAAAAAAATTACAAAAAACCCATACTTTTGATTTCTCAGTACCCTATGTGTACACTAGTGAGAACGTTCTGATTTCTGAAATCAGTGCCATTACAACTAATCCAAACCTGATTTATTTTGCAAGTGAAAAATATCATGACACATTTCAGTGAAATATTACTTTATAATAAGAGGCAAGCAGTTATTTGAAATTAACAGACTTATAAGTTCATACTAAACCACATATGAGTTGACATTAGACATAACATACACTCTTTTGTTAAAATCAGTCTTAAAGTGTGTCCCAAAAATGATTAGAAGAAATTCATACTTTTGCACATCTTACCAATGACCTTTTTTTTTCTTTCTTGGATAATGCAAGATGATTACAGACATAAAGCTACCTTGGTCCAAACTGCAATTTCAAAAGTTACTTACCATCTAAGATTCACATTGAGTGTTAGTTCGCAAACAAACCAAAGTAAATAAATAATAGCAATGAGTCTATTGTTCTATTTCTCCGAAGTGTTACTGATTAAAACATCAGAGCACTGAATATAATACTTTCCTATGAAACTGAAAAAGAAAATGCACATGTTGATTTTTCAGATGTTGCATCAGACAAGCAACATCCTGAAACATCTACAGGACAAGAGACTTGTGGTGGTATTGTTCCTACCGAATGCATAACGTCCCAATAAATGAACATCGCTCAATCGTGCTTACACAATCCATTCTGCACAACAGCATTCTTGGTTGAGGATGAAATCTCTAAAGAAGGTGGGCTAGAAGTGCTTTCTTTGCACCCCGATTGAGAAGGTGACCTTTTGTGGACTTCCACGAGAGAGACCTTCCAAGGAGAGGCTGTTGGTTCGATTTTGGGCATGAGGAACATGGGACATGGCTCAAGAGTCTGCGTTTGAGCTTCATGCACGGTCAGACTAGCTAAGGAGTCCGTCTCTGGGGATTCGAGCTTGGGTTGGTGGTTCCTGGTGAAATTGGAGAGCTGCTCCAGGACCTGGATCTGGCGGTCCATCATTCCCAGCATGCTGCAGTGGAAGGCTCTCTGCTCGGCCAGCTGTTCTCCGAGCCGGTGGTTCAGGATGGTGAGCTGCTGGAGGATGAGGCTGCTGGTCTCCTCAGAAGTTCCTGCTGAGATGAAACAAGAAAAACCGTGACTCATGAGGTCATTAAGGGTGTGTTCACACTTGGCATGTTCGGTTCGATTAAAACGAACCCAGGTGTGATTGCTCTGTTGGTGTGGTTCATTTGAATAAGTGTGAATGCTGCCACCCAAACACTGGTGCGCACCAAACAATTCACCTTTGGCTAAGCCCCGCCCCCCTTAGTTACTGTTGCTACATCCGTCAAACTTCATCTGCGCTCTGCATGGCTTATGCTGCGTTTTTGGTAAGGACCAAACTGATCAAACTACACGTGTGAACACACCCTTAGTTTGTTGTACCAAACAGAATTGAACCAATACGTCACCTGGGAAATCGTCGTGGACGCAGTCGGCGGCGTCTCTTGTACTTTCTGTACTGTTGGGAGTGCACAGGGATGGTGGTTCGGTCTTCACTGCATAGAGGTATTCTCCTGACAAGCCCAGGGTCATAACTTCATCTGGTCCTACAGCCCAGCTCGGAGGCTCAGAACCAGCCATGACATCTGGATTCAGGCTCTCGTCAACATCAGCTTCAAGTTTAGACATGCTTTCAGGATCACAGTTCGGGATTATGCCTTCAGGGATTACGCCTTCAGGCCAAGGACCTGAAAGAGGAGATAAACAGGACCAATCCTCATCTCGTACAGTGATCAAAATTACAATGGACTCAATTATAAGGAGCAACTCTAGAGAGACTTAATAGAGATGACATTAAAGCGATACTCCGCCCAAAAATAAAAAAAAAGGTTTGGAACAACATTACAGTGAGTAAGTAAATAATGGCAGAATTTAATTTTTGGTTGGAGTATCAAACCTGTATCAAAGTCTGTGTGCAAATGGGAAGTCTAACTCAATATTTCCCCAAAAGTGCAGATTTTGGATGTCTCCCTTATCTGACCCGTATGTTTCAGGTCTTGGACTAGTGAGCGGAGTTGAATCAGGTGTGTTTAATTAGGAAGAGAAAGAAAATGTGTTTACATGGCACCATTTTCAACTAAATATTTTTGAAAAAAAACTAGTTTTTATGCGTTTTGGCCGTTTATTTACACGACAACAGCTTTTTGAGAGGCTGTAAACGAAAATTTTCAAAGTGCAAGTTTGAAAATGATACTTTTGTAAACTACAAAAATGTGAATTTGTGTTTGTGTCATTAATTTGTGTCATGCGCATTAGAGCCAGACCGATATATCGGCAGGCCGATATTATCGGCCGATATTAGGCATTTTCCAAACTATCGGTATCGGCAGTTATAATGGCCGATAAATGAATATTTCAAAAATAAAATAAAAAACAGAGGAAACACGCTTGAACCATGTCATGAGTGTTGGAGTTGTATAGTTTGTCCACCAGAGGGCCACACTCCTTGAGTTGGTCACAAGACATACATTGCTTGAATAACAATTAAAAGAACATCCGTATCAGTTCTCTTAACTCAAATAAGCATGACAAAATTTGTGACTATCATGTCCAGTTTTGCTGCTGTTAAATAAGCCGAGAGTGAAGCGGAATTAGCTAGTAATAGTTACGTTATGTTGTTACAGTGTAGTTGACTGACTGTCCTTTTAACTTTTGACAATGTGACTGAAGTATTTCTTTAATAGCGTGTGACAGTTATAGCAATGAGACGTATCATCTCTCCTTGGCCTGTTATATTGTAAATGTATGTTTTACAATTTGTTGCGCGTTTCTGAAATATAATTAAAAAAAAAAACGGCCGATTTATCGGAATATCGGATTTTAAAACCAAGAAATATTTGTATCGGTATCGGACTTCAAAATCCTTTATCGGTCGGGCTCTAATGCGCATGAGTATTATGTGTTCAGTCTATAGGTGCATAGTGTTTCTTTACAAAGTGACACCGCCATCTACTGGCCTGGTGTGAATAATGTGTTTTTAGTTGTTTTTGTGGATCCATTTGACAACGTCGTTGACTATATGCAAAAAACACAAAGGAAAAAATTATATTTTTAGTACACCGTTGACATGTAAATGTACCCTTGGTGTTATTCCAGAAACAGGGTTGAGAAACAAATGCTGATCTAATTATTGCCCTGAAAACAAGGCAAAAAATGCCAAGAACCTGATTAAATTAAAGGAATAGTTCACCCAAAAATGAAAATTCTGGTATCATTTACTCTTGTTGTCCCCAAGCTGTATGACTTTCATTTCTCTGCAGACACAAAAAAAGATATTCTGAAGATTGTCGTCAACCAAAGAGTTTTCAATTTTCAGTTTTCAATGTTAATTGAAATTATACCGACACAAAGACATTACTCAAAATATCTTCTTTTATGTTCCACATAAGAAATAAAGTCATGTGGATTTGTAATGAGGATGAATAACATGAGGATGAATAAATGATAACAGAATTTTCTCTTTTTTGGGAGAACTCTCCCTTCAATATATCGTATAAGACCATAATTCTCAACTGGTAGGACATAAAGTACAAATAATAAAATGTAACTAACCATATTACAAAATTACTATAATTAAGCCTATCAACTTAGAATTGGAAGCATAAAACAGTTCTCATATCTTTTTTATGGCATCAAATGATGCATGTTAAGGTTGTGATGTTGTGAAAAAAAACTAAAAAATAAAAACTATGAACAAACCTGTATAAAGTAAGAAAATATGACTGGGTCGTCACAATTTATAACATAAAAATATAATAGTTT